GGTATTAGTCCGAACAATTCCTCAGAGCACTCTCCATGATATATGCGATAGAGAATGCAGAATGAAGCCACATCTCTACGTCAAGCCAAGGGATCGAGCCGATCGGAGGTGTTTGGGCTATCGACGATTCGAGTCGCTTTTCGTTGGATATGGTCCAGAGGGAGAAGTTGGTACTGAGGTGCCCCTGCATAGAGATGAAAACAGTATTCACATTATTCGGCCGGACTTAATATGAATTAATACCTAACTTACTTCCTTACTTGACTTCCATATGGGGCTTCATCATTAAATGCTAATGAAAGTTTCATTATCCAAATCTATAATTCTTTTTTTTATTAAATGTAAGTGGATAGTTATATAGACAGAAATATGCCCGTCTTACTAGGTACAAGAATTCTTATTTTTAACCTCAAATAAAAAATATTTACGTTATTAATACTAGTAATTATATGTGCAAATTGTATCTACCATGTAGGCCATCCTAACAGAACACTCCTAAGTAATTGGTTTCGTCCAACATGTCTACAATTCAGTGTATTATTGAATTAACATTATACTGTAATTGCTAAATTTCGAAAACTATAGATTAACTAAGGAATCATACACAATTGATTAATAATTTTATAATAATAATAACATCGGATATCATTTTTTAACTACTATTCTGTGTATTAACTTCTTTAAAGTTCTGTGAAACTATTATTGGTACTTTAAAAACCATTCTTTCTTTTTCAAACATTACAATATCGGTTATGATTTTATGTTAATTCATAAATAGCTTTTTTTAACTAAAATTTAAAATGAGCCTGGTGCCCAAGTATAAAGTTAAGTAAAAGTTTTTCTTTTTTTTTGTTTAAATCATTTCAGTACCTACACTTTGTCGGGATATCTTTCACGTTTACGTTATTGTAGAAGATTAACATTCTACGAGTAATTAATGTCAAAGAAATTATATGGTTTCAATAAATATAAGTGGTGTAAGGAATCTATAAATTATTTTTAATTGTAGTTGGCATGTCAAGTAGCTAATTTATTTCACTTCCTTTATCAATGAGCGTATTTTGTAGAATTAATTCAAATAACAAAAAACATCACTTTTCGTCCTATTAGTAGGAAAATGAGAGGTGTATAAGATATTTATATCCTATTCTTTAATTTGATTGTGTGATAGCAAGAAAGGGGTCAAAACCTTACATAGTATTTACATTCTTAAAGCTAGGTGATTTTGATGTCTAAAATGAGTGAAATAATGCTGTCAGGTTTTATTTGTATAAGTTTTAAATAACTGGTAGATTAATATTCTTTAAAGATTATCGTGAACTTAGACGTTTTAACACTTACACTCAGACCATTATCGGATCACCATTTATTAAACATACTTATGAGCAAAAAAAACAATTGCACAACGGTAGTTATGTTCCGATGGAGCCTACCACCGTATTGTCCCATTGTTCCTGGTTCTTTTTATGGGTGCGGCCAAAGATCTCTAAAACTAATATAAACGCTTCTTTTCAACTTCGTTGCATTATACGTTGCAATGAGTACAAAAAGAGGTATTACAATCTACAATGAAAAATTGAAAAAAAGGTTAGGTTAGTGTTTAATGGTAAAACAGTGTATTGCTCTTAATCGACGTAAAATAAACCGTAATCGCACGGCGTTTTCATGTAGTTGCAGGCAACGGGGTAAGCAGCCTACACTTTATTAAATAACATTACCACCAAAATGTTGTAAGTCTGCTAGTAATGTTGTAAGAGCATAAGCACGCTTAGTGGCATATGTACCTACGTATGAAAGTAGGCCCCATGTTTCATTCTTTTTTGTTAAATTATAGTCTATACAAAAGAATATAGACAAATATAAATATGTCCCCAATGTCAATCGACAATACGAACTTCGTCTTACATTAATTTAATCTTGTCGACCAGTTAATTACCGACCAGGCATTCTTGTGTGGCTTGTGTGGCACAAATTTGTACATCCACGATAAAATAGTATCTCATATGGACACAATGAAAACATCGAATCGTCGAGGCTCGCCTCTTGTCACGCGTGTGGATACAAATGGTCTGATTTATCTGCGATGCATGTCCGGGACTATTGTTTTATTGCTCCATCATTGTACTCTAGAGTCCATTGCAGTCGGCCGGGGACGCCTCACACGATGAATACGCCCGTTGAAATATTTCGTTATAATTATCGACATACGGCTGATTTAATAAATTGTTGAAGGACTATTTATTGCAAAATCCTTTCTAAAGTGTAAATATCACTGCTATTCATATTAAATATCAACCTATTCCTAAGACTATTCAAAGCTATAATTGGTACATTTTACACAATTTTATAAAATCATACACCAAGATTAATGAAAAGAAGCTTACACAGATGTGTGTGCGGCGACTTCCATATACAAAGAAACAGAAATATACTACAGCGCCATCTATCGAAGATACATCGATCTAAGAGTAACTGCCAATTCCGTAAAAAGTTCTCACGCTGATTAGACGAGTTCCAGGGGGGCCGCGGACCGACAGGCGTGATCATTCTCGGTCGGAGGATACTCCCTTAATCTTGAAAGGATATGACTCGTTCCTCCACAGTGGTAACCCCGACGAGATAGGAAGCAGCCTTCACGAAGCCCGGCCACAACTGGGATACCAGCTACAGGAAGCGACTGCTCTAGCATGGTTACACCTACGGCCTCATCAGCGTCTAGGCACAGCATACAGCACCTTCCGTCCACGTAAAAAAATCATCTCTCTCCCGTCTACGCAGCATCCAGCCACTACGCAGTAACGGTCCAACTCACTGGAGACTTCACAGTAGCACCGCGCACCGCATGCAATCCCGACTCACTGGGGTCAGCTGATTTCAGCCCCGACGTATTGGAACTAGCGGCACTCAGTTTCGATTCACTGGAACTGCTCACTACTAGCACTAGCACGCTTCACACACAACAGCTGTCTCATCACATATCGACCTCTGGTCTTGAAAAAGTGATGTGGCGACTTCGACAATGTATATCAAATGTTTTATATAGGCTCAATACTGACATACAACGCCATCTAGTTTCAAACTAAGCAGAGCTTGTACTATGAAAGTTAGATTGACTGATAAAATACTCATATACTTTATTTTGTAAATACATACATAATACACAGAGAAAACACCCAAACTCCGAAACAAATGTTTGCAGAAAATACAAACATTTGGTCCGACCCGATAATCGAACCCGAGACCTCAGCACAGCAGCCAAAATATTAATTATAGATAAACTACAATATCGCTTCCTAACTGGAGTTAAGAGCAAAAATTAACTAATATAATAAAAAGAAGAGTGAGTATGTTTGGCCCTGTCGATGCATATACTTTGTTATAAACCCTGTTTGTGTTTGTCTGCTCGATTGCCCCCTTTGCAATAAAAAAACCTGTACCTGTATAATGTCTATTTTGGTCCATGAAATTTGACAATATAATTATTGGCAGTCCACCACAGTGCACTTTTTAAGCCACTGCCTCGCGTTGTGCGAGGATCCGTGGAACAAGTTATCGTCTTCTGTATTTAAAGACCGATACCACCTTCAAACCTTCAAGAAAAGAGCGTACTCCGTTTTTAAAGGCCGGCAACGCGCTTGTGACTCCTGAGTTGCAGGCGTTCATGGATGGCGGTAGTCGTTTTCCATCAGGTGACCCGTCTGCTCGTTAGCCCGATCTGCCATAAAAAAATACTTTTACATACTTAGAGAAAATTTCAATTATGTTTATATTTTTAATAAAAATTTAAATCAATTTATACTAAGTCCAATCTCGGTTGTAACCTTTTCTACAATAGTCTATAAAAAATTGTTTTATAAACCAATTTGAGAGTAATGACTTCTTAAGTGTTAAAGATTATAACAGTAACAAAAATATTACAGGAAACAAACAGGAAGATAACAGCCATGAAACATCTTCATTTAAAGAAAATAGTACACAAATAAGTCTGTATTATTTCCTCAGTTGTTGTAGCAGAGCTTTAAAAGAACACGCTGTTTTGTCACATGTGGTTGTTTTATGTAATTGTGCGGTTTTAAGACAAGCTAGGTACTGCCATTTTATGTTTAACATGTACTTTATACTTAAATATACTCTGAACCTTAGTTTAGTAATAACCTGATTTTAAGTAATTACCTTAGTAATTACTTAAAATCAGGTTGTATTTTTATTATCATAAGTTATAGTTTTACACGATAAAATATCACTCATTACAGTATATTTTTTTATGAATTCATTTAAAACGAAACAAATTTTGAATTCGAACATATGTTCCTGACAGAAATCTATGGCACATCGATTGCATTTACGGCGTCCCGAAGACATTACAAAAGCCATTCCCTTATCTAATGTTCGCTTTGGATTTATTTAACATTTCCACGCCTTCACATCTTTAAAATCGTTCGATAAAGATGTCAACTTGAAAAGGTCACAAAAACCACGGGGAGAATACGCAAACTCGTGTGTTGTACTGTTTACTTATTTGAAAACTTATAAAATATGTTAAATAATAGGCTTTAACCACTTTTAATTGGCACTGAAATATGTCATATCAATAACACATAGTTACAAAATTTTACCTATGAAAATTTTCCAAAAGTTTTTTTTTCACTTTTTTTTACATCTTTTGACACAGTGAATTTAAATCTACCAGCCGGTTTAATCCATCAGCTCTTATTTTTCGTACACAGCTTTTTGGTATTATATGTGAGGGTAGGCGCACATTTACGAATTTAACAGTGTTGATATTAGTTAAGATAAAATTTCAGCGATGTCTACATCAAGGAGACGTTGTTTAAACGATCCGAAGTGTTTTTTGCTTTATTTGTGGTGAATATGTTTTTAAAAATTGAAAAAAAATTGAAAATCGCGTATACCTACTACTTTAAAGTACAAGTGTGTAATTTGGACAAGCCGTAGGTGCCTGAGACTGTTTGTCAAAATTGTGTTGTTAGTTTGCGACAATGGTAAAGTGGAAAAAGAAGTTCCCTGAAGTTCACAACTCCCATGAACCGAAAAATCACCATGATGATTGCTATTTTTGCGTCGTTTCGTCTCGTCGGTCGGTCGATTTACCGTCTGCTAAACAACCAACTTTGGTGCCTATTCTAGCTCAAGAGCCCATACCACTAGTTTTACCTTCGGCATCTGCAGCAGCTTCTTGCCAAATGGAAACAGACGACATAATAGACGATGATAAGTCAAATGATCCTGATTTTATCCCCAATGCCACGACTACAGACCTTTTTAATCATAATCGAGTTGAATGACCTAATAAGAGATCTTAATTTGACAAAAGAACAGTCTGAGTTACTCGCCTCTAGATTGAAAGAAAAAAAAGTACTTGCACCCAATACTAAAGTCACCATATACCGTACGCGCGAAAAGGGTTTGTTAAAATATTTTTCGCAAGAAAATGACTTAGTATTTTGCCAAGATATCAAAGCTTTAATGAATAACATGGGTTTACAACAGTATAATCCACATGATTGGCGTATTTTTATAGATAGCAGCCAAAGAAGTTTGAAATGTGTTTTGTTACACAACGGCAATAAATTCGGTTCTATCCCTATTGCATATTCCAGGACATTCAAAGAAGCTTATGGAAATATTTCTTCTGTTATAGAGAAAATCAAATACCATGAACATAACTGGCAAATATGTGTGGATTTTAAAATGGTAACTTTTCTTCTAGGACAGCAAAGTGGGTTTACAAAGTATCCGTGTTTTATTTGTCTTTGGGACAGCAGAGATAGAGAACATAATTGGACTCAGAAAGTGTGGCCTCTAAGAGAAGAATTAGTGCCTGGAAAGCAGAATAAAATACATTCTCCGCTCGTTAATAAAGATCGCATTATTTTGCCACCACTGCACATAAAACTTGGTATAATGAAGCAGTTTGTCAAGGCGCTTGATACAAATTTGTGACTGTTTTGAGTATGTTGCACAGAAATTCCCTGGTCTAACTGCAGAAAACTTAAAAGCTGGAATATTTGATTGACCACAAATACGTCTGCTAATTAATGATGAAAATTTTGTTGAAACAATGAATAAAAAAGAGTCCAGAGCATGGAAATCATTTGTGTCAGTAATGAAAAACTTTCTTGGTAATACTAAAGCACCAAACTAAAAGGCTTGGTAAAACATATGTTATTATGTCTGAAGGATCTTGGTTGCAACATGAGCGTAAAACTTCCTTATTTACACTCCCATCTGGAACAACACCCATTTTGAAAATCTTGGCCACTTTAGTGATGAACAAGGAGAAAGAATTCATCAAGAAATTCGCACCATGGAGGAACGATATAAAGGCAGATGGGATGTGCATATGATGGCACATTATTGCTGGAGTTTGAAAAGAGACCAACCACAAGTATCACATGCAAGAAAATCATTGAAAAAATCATTTTGATTTTTATTTTCAGAGTCAGGGTGTCATATGTTTACATAAAAGCTAATTAACCGTCTGGAAAAATATCTTTGTAACTATGTGTAATTTACTTTACTCGATATAGCGATTAAATGCAAACCTCATGAACACAACTTTTTAGAACATATGAATGTGTAAAATATCGGAGTTGGTAATAGGATTACCCAGGCCATAAAATAAAAACTGTTTCCTATTCTGTATTTTCAGAGTAACAGATATATGAGTTACTGTGTAAATAGGTTTGTTTAGTAAATAGATACTACATTATAACAACCATTTTAGTAGACAAATATGTTCGACACCATAAAAATATTTCAAAACTAAAATAAATACTAAATCTCGAAGCTTTACGTCACCTTTTTAAATACCATCCTCTTTTACTTCATTAGGTTTAAAGATCATAATAATTTGGATAACAACGACACTTAAAGGTCTAAAAAAGTAATTCTGGATGCTATAGATACTAATAATGAATGCGATAGGTGACTACATCCCTACATTAATTTCGCCCTAGTTAAGGCTATATTCCAGTAATAGTGTTTTAAATACCACCCGCTTATACTTTATCAGGTTTAAGATCATAATAATTTGGATAACAACGACACCTAAAGGTCTAAAAAAGTAATTCCATTTTACCCTTTAACAGCTTTGGTAAAAGCGACTAATCTGAGGAGTCCAGTTGATTAACTTGAGAAAAAAAAAAATGGACGATTGAGCAGTTCAAGAAAGAATAAAAATTTGTTGGGCTATAAATTAACCGGGCCCCGAGGGCGAGCCTCGCAATCTGCATTAGCCGAGACGCACTTCTCTCCGACGATTAAATGAAATTTCACGGCCGGTTGCCTACGGAAACTCACTGGACAAAGGTCTGGGATATTTAAATTGAATGCCTTTAATCCGACAAACTCCCCCACTTTTTTCTCAAGATAGAATTTCGCTTTAGTATGCGGCGTCTTCGATCTAAAGATGTAAAAAATACTGTTTGATTATGTACACAAAAACTTAATTTGCGTATAAACAAGGTAAAAGATTTAGGAAAAAATAGATACAATTATGGATGCAATAGGTGACTACATCCCTACATTAGTTTCTCCCTAGTTGAGCCTCACATCAACAGCCTATAATAGTCCACTGCTGGACATAGGCCTCTCCTGAGAAAGGAGGTTTTGGCCTACTATACCACGCTGGCCAGACGGGTATGTGTAGGGTTTGTGTCAAGTTTTCCTTCCCTTTGCAGTGCTGTTGTCCTGCGTAGTTTGCTCCCTTAGTCGGCTCTTCCGAAGCCCACGGGATGAATAGTTAAGTAATATATAGTTAAGCCTATATTCCAGCAATAGTAATAATACGTAATAAATAAGTAAGTAATAATAATAAACTCTAATTTGTATGACGGTAAGAGTCCGCATTCATCTCCTTCACTGCTAGCTTCATTGTAGTCAAATAAAATTTAGTATTATAAAATATTTTTGGACCTAAAATGCAGTACACCTATTTTAACATTAATTTTACATCTTTATCCTTCACAGTGCTTTATTTTAAATATGTCATGTAAAATAAAATTGTATATAAAGATGTGATATTCTGGTAAGTATTATAGTACCAAGTTCATGAGACATATTTTAATGTCGCCGTCAGTACTACCACGTGTGCGAAAATAAGATAGCTTTATAAGTCAGACCATTATTATTTTTGTTGGACTGAGTAAATTATTTAATTTTTCTTGAAGTCCATATGTCATCCCAGACTACAATCTGTCTATTCTAAATCATACAATAAGCCATCTCTAGTGGTGGAATTTACTTCTAGAACCATTAGAACATGCTATTACATAGCAACAAACTGTGGGACAAATTGTCACCGGCGGTATTTCCGACCTTCAAGCCTTCAAGAAAAAAGCGTACTCGCCAAACCTCAAAGACCAGCAGGGCTTGCATATATAAATTGGCTTGCATATATAAATTCTAAATATATTGTAAAAACTATAACTTTTTAATTTTTACTCGTACTTAGCAAAATTTAATGCGGAAAGGTAGCATTTATAGCTCATAATGTATAATAAGTTGTATGCAACTGCTGACAAAAGATAGGAACTTACTTTGAAATTCCCTTCAAAATTTATTGTATAAAAAATTAAATGGCCGTGTCACACTGATGGACCTGAATTTTTAAACAGTTTCCAATACTCGTACAGAGCTCAAGCTGCCGAAGAAGCTTCTTTTTGTTTAGACATTTTAGTTTATCTGAAAATCTTCCTTTCCTTAATTGCTTTTCGTAAAAAGGAAACCTTTGTAATTGTAAAAGGAAGTTACCTATTTATAAATTATTTTGATGTATTTACTAGTGAGTAGGCTAGAAACACATATATGTTTAGATAAATAAACATATCTACTTGATATGGTATAGATGTAGTTGCAACATATTGGAAGAACAGTAATAAGCCGAAATACAGTATGCATGTGCCTGATACTGTATGACTATATTTGATTTTCCATATTAATTAATAAGTCACTATAAAGTGTTAATATTAACACTACAGAGTGACGACTCAGTAGTTTTAATTGACACACTAGGGACAATGACTAATTCTACTCATTATATTAAGTAGAAAAAACGTTTTACATCAAGAAAATAAATGAACCAGCTTAAAATTTTCGTATTTATAGTATATCAATCGTCAAAATAACTTTTTTTACCTCATCCGCCTAGTTCTACGAATTCACTTTAGTCGATAACCCCTATTTTTAATAGTATTGACAATATAAGTTAGTCGAGCCTTAAGAAGGCAAAACCGTAAGTAAATCAAGTTCAAACTGCACTTTCCGTACTTACTTTACGATTTACCTTCCATATTAAATTATCGATTGGAAAACTTCCGCCTCAGTCTGCGTATCGCCGTTCTAAGCACCAGTAGGTATCCCCTTTCGCACTAATCGAGCAATTTCTCCCATGTTATTAAAGGTAAATGGGAATGTTCGCAGGCCGTTGCGTTCTCTCAACGAGTTTCTTATAGACGGTATTGAATTTTTAAACAAATTTTTCGACCCGCCGCCCATGCCCAGAAACCCACTTTATGTTATAGGATTAGAACGTTATTACACCATTAAACCTTTATGAATAATTCTATTACTATAATTTTTAAACTAGATTCCAGGTTTTACGTGTATATACTTGTATAAAGTGTGACAAGTTATTGAATAAACTATGTTTCCACCACTTCAACACATCATCAACACCCCCCAATAGTCCACTGCTGGACATAGGCCTTTCCCTAGAAAGGAGCCTTTGGCCGACTATACCACGCTGGCCAGACAGGTTGGTACAGGGTTTGTGTCAAACTTTCCTTTTCTCTGCAGTACCGCCGTCCTACGCAGTTTGCTCTCTTAGTAGGCTCTTACGACACCCACGATCCCGTATATATAGGGGTGGTGCTCCGTATTCTTAATCCGTCACCACGCGGAAGTCTTCAACATAGAATTCTCTAATAGACGACTATGTAAGTCACTAGAATGGTGCAAAGGAAAGACTGGAGAGACCGAAGTATAGGTGTTTTCGCACTCGCATTTCGAAAGGTAAATTCCTAAAACAAAACTCCTATAAGTTGCTATCGAACTTCGGACCCTATGAATCCCTTCTTACCCCTCTTACAAGACCCTTCTTACAAGACACGTATGTGAAACCTCGTGCAATTAGGAGTAAGAAAAAATTACAATTAGGTATTTCAGAATTTTCTATTAAATAACATTTTAAAATTACTTGCCCCTTTAAAATAAGATAGCGTTTGTTTTCAGTATATTTATATTGCAATATGAAAAACAAATTGAGATAATCATTGTACTTATGACTAAATTACCTTGTACTTAAGAGCAAAGTTAATTGGCCTCGTACTGTTGAATTAGATCAAAGTAAACCACAAAGACAAAGCTTATAAACATTAAAGGCGTTTTAAAAATACTGCACAACACAAAAGATATTTCCCTAAGGTAACGTTAATGTTCCGGTGTCGGCGTGGGCCATTCGACCGAATCTCTAGAAATTAAGGCAGGGAAAAAGTCAATAAATCCAAGAAGCAAGCTGGAACAGATAACGAATGTCTCCGGTAGAGACACGACACCAGTGCCGCGACAGAAAAATCGTCCGGACTCGCCTCGCCCGCGCTAATGTGACACTAAGCCCTTCTACGACTCGGAGTTTCTTGCTTTGTTTACCACAAAGCAAGAAACTTTTCTATATTTATTTTTGCTTAATTTTGATTTCAGAGATAGATTATACAATCTATTTAAGCAGACTAAGAACGCAATGTCACAAAGTTCTTATTTGATTACATTTGTTAATTTGGACTTTACTTCTATTTTTACCTATAATTACTTTATCGAAGATCATTTTTCTTGTTGGACATTAAGCGCTCTTAACAATATCAAAAAATTACTTACATTTTATGTCTTTTTTATTGAACTTTTTACTCTCTATACTCAAATACACAGTTATAGCGTATTGCAACAAAAGTTAACAATTATAATTGAAATATACTCGTATTTAAGACATTTATGGTAGAGCCACTTTTCCAGTTCTACCTCCTTTGATAAATCGTTGTTGATGTTATTAATTTATATGTGAGCTATCTGGGTGTCAATAATTATGTAAATGTTCGTTAGTATCTACGAATTATTAATGTTCATCAATACAAGCTCCGAGGTTAACGGTGACATGGCTATTTTGAAATCGAACATTATAACTTACCTACACAATGAACAAATACTATTATCGTGTCTATTTAATGATCCAATGTCGTTCTTCTATAAGGAACATGTTATATTTAATTTAAATGTAAGGCATGTAACATTCAAATTAATGATATTATATTATAAAGTAATAATAAAAACCCATTGAGACGATAGCTACAAGGATCTTGTAGTTCTAAGACAATCTATATTTTGATACTCTTTTTATGATTATGACAATTAAACATCTAAAGCAAAAAGAAACATTAATACAATAGTCTAAAAGTTTTATTTAGTATTAACTATGCGTTACAACTATTTTAATGACATTTCGATCAAGTCGTAAATGGAACACATTTTTCAATTAATAAAAAAACACGTGCATTGTGTGATACGCGTTCGTATTAACCCGTACTAATTCATATTTTCAGGGTCATGCAAAACTAGAGTTCTGACATAACTAAATTTAACATAATTTAAGCAAGATTTTGTAAAATATTCTTGCTAATCCTAAGACCTAACATTTAACTTTGTCCTTTCGAAATATGGACCAATGCATTAGATACCAATGTCAATTCTAACACATCAAAATAATTTAATTATTTGACAACTCAGACAAAAAATAAAATAGAAAGAAAGAGTGCACTTCAAAAACATTTCAGTTTTTCAAAATACTTTATTAGAGTGATTCTTTGCTCAGGTAAAAATACAAAATGAAGAAACAAGAATACCAAACACTGATAAATATTTTAATCTAAATTGCTGTTTGCGAGTCATTGCCTGCGTAAATCGTATATCTCTAGTAGGTAGCTGGCGAACCCCACTAGACAAATGCTGCAGTAAATATCCTTTTCATGGTTTTAACGAACATTATTTCCACCAATTTAACCACTATTTGCAACACGTTTACATTACAAGTAAGAATACAAGTTAGGTTAGAAAGTAAGTGTAATCGGGGAAAAGCCTTACTTAATTATAATTTTAAGGGGGAAACTTGCACACAGACTGTCCGCATGCCAAACGCAGCCATACAATCTTCTACTGAAAGTTGGTCAACTAATCCAAGTTTTCCTTTACTGGCTAATGAGACGAGTTTGATTCGAATTCCCTTCGCGCTGCGAAATAACCATCTTCTTTGAATATATCTTTACTTGTTTTATGCGTAATAATGATATACAGGATTATATTGCACACTACGCTCATATTTTGGATATTGCTTCACTAGAAAAAAAGTTATGAAATTTAATAAATTCTTATTATAAATATAAAGGTTGCTGTTATTGCAAGATGAAACTAGATCATATTATTAAAACAAACTGAAGTAAAAACAAAAGTATTCGTACGGTTACATACCCCGGTTGTATGGCACATTGCTGAGCTAAGCATTATTAGGCAGGTATCAGATATCCCAGTACTCAAAGTGTCACAGAGAGCTGGCAGTGTCTTCCGAGCCCTGAGATTCAACACTTGACTTTTACGTGTTTTGTCACCATTCTTTTTTTTTCAATTAAAAGTGTTCATCATTCTAGTATTTTCTTTTTAAAAAGTCAAGGCCCCGTGTAACAGTACGTGTCAATGATAAATTTGTATTTTTTTTGGGTTGAAAAGCGCATTATTTTAATGATCATTTAAAATTGACCTGATCTCAATAAGATTATTATAATTGTTCTTCAAACCATTACATTGTATCTGCAATATTTCTTGTACTATCAATTTAGTATGTAATGATCTACATTTTGTTTATTAAATATTCACGTTGCAATTAAAACAAAATACATTTAAATGTTTGATGTTCTTAAACAACTACAAGTTCTTTATAAAAATAAGCGCATAGTAAGATATTCTTAGATGAAACAGAGATTCTCGCCAAGCTTATTGGACTGCCCGTAGATAAACAAAGCGTCTGGCCTCCGTAATGGAAATTACATACCCCCGAGGTCGGAAATCAAATTGACAGAAGAGGTTAAACAAACGATGCGGTCAGAGCTCCGAGACCGTAGTCCGTCGAATATTAATCGCTCAGTAAATGCGCTTTTATTTGTTTTTCACCTTAGCCCATTTAGTCTCCGCAGAGTAAGTGACAATTTCAAACGATCCAAAAACTAGTTAATTAGTTACGATTTGCTTAGCTTTTTTAATTTCAGAAAAGATATGTTCTTAAATCGCAATTACTTGATATTCCCCAATCTCACTCACCTCTAATTTTCATAATCTAGATCAGTTTTTTTCGCTATAAGCTATAAAATATATGTACATAATGTGCTATAGTTAGTATTTAATGTTTCGTTGTAAATTAAAAGTAAAATTTCAAAAGATTCAATTTTATTAATAACTCATTAATTTGTTACAATTTAATCAAAATTATAACCTGTACAATTAAATATGCCTTTATATTGGAATTGGGATATTATGCGAGCTTGAATAATTTGAATCGATTTCTTCGCTGTCTGGGGATATAAAGGATTGTTTGATAATGTTTTCTGCTATAAACTTGGTGCAATATTTAACAAGCTGAAATTATAGACAAGATATAAGACTAGAATAAAATATGTAATTTAAGACACAAAAGAGAATGTTTATTACAGATTTAGTGTCTGAGTATTAAATTAAGTGTTACATTTTGATTTATCTCTGTTGAAACTTAAAAGCTACTTCATATGAAATAGAATTAAACCACATATCAAGAATCATATCATATCATATAGTAGAATTCAAATAAAACTCGTATATAATAACCAGCTGTTTCCTGCCATGCTGCGCCGTGACACATTCTGGTTGTATTGGTTGGAAACGAAGAGCATGAAAAACAGATAAAAACCACCTTTGAAGCGGTTTGTATAACGTGTCTAAGTTTGAGCACAATCTTTGCAGAACTTTCTCAGTAATATATATATATATATATATATATATATATATATATATATATATATATATATATATATATATATATATATATATTAATTCTTACATATAATAAACTTGGTCACCATGAAGTTTGGATGATTCCCAAGGGATGAATAAATTAATTTTAGGAGAGAATAGATATTATAGATTTTAAGAAACTTTGCCATTACAGAGTGGCGTCGATATTCCTTCAATAAGACAAATGTAATCGAAGTGCTGAGCCTTACTTAAATCTTATTTCCCAAATGTATTTGTGGATACGTCCAATCACCAATTCACGACCTTATTTTAGATGGACCTTGATAAGTATTAAAAAATAGTTTTATCCGTGGGATAGCCATGATTCGGCGCATATGGGCCGACTAGACTCGACCTGTGATACTGCGGCCTCACAGAAAACCGGTGTTAAACAATTCTGTCGTTGCATTTCACCGAGTGAATGAGGTTACCGGAGGCAACCCCCGGGGGTGCTGGCTAGAAAACCTCCTCGTGGTGCACCCTGGAAACGCTGGCGATGGTACTGTTTCCTCCTTGTCCTCTTGGAGGAGAGGATTATCGCCAGCGGCCAATATTCTAGCAGAAGAGGTAGCCGTTCATCGGCTCTCGGGCAAGGCCTGGTCCAGCAGGGTGGGCGTGTCTGCCGGTTGCCCTGCTGGCTCTTCGCTCTTCGGAGCATGGAGGAGGAAACCTCGGTAAAAAACCTGATGGCGGGGCCCTGTAGGGGCCACAGTTTCTCCGCTGATAGCGGTGGAGAAAGGAGGACGGGCTCGGCGTGTACTGACACTACCACCGAGCAGGCAGGGGGACGTAGTCTCCCTGTCAACCGTCGGCATATCGCAATCCCGAGAAGAGCGCTGTGGTTAAGTCTCGCGGCTCTGATCGGGGGCGAGGGTCTTGGCTTAACCGCCCGGACCGCGAGGAAGATAACCTCTCTAAAAAATTCCCCGAATCCCGTGTTCTGGTGCGTGGCCAGGGGATGCATGGCTGATGGGAAGTTCAGTCGCGAGCGCACTCCAAGCCGAGGTACCTGCGGACCCCTCGGTTGGGTTAAAAACTTACGCTTACCCGGGTAATGGGGGATCTCTGCCCGGGTGGACCTTTATTTCTCCCCCACTCGTGGGATCAATTATGCAATCATTAAATAAAAATACGAAGAAACGATCGGAAACAAACACAAACCAGACAAAGGCAAGCAAAACGGACACTGAAACAAAAGGTGCAAGGGAGAAGAGGAACAGTGGAGTCGATGGGTCGTCCACTGAGGGTGAGGTGGCGTCGGGAACGCCCATCTCGATGGGGCTCCCAGAAGTCAGTCTGACTCTGATCTCTGGGAGCCGAAGAGCATCGGATCGGCTGCGTTCCGGATCCGCCGCTTCGTCAGATGGCGCGGAGGCCATGGAGGCGGAACGAAGCGACAGCCGGAAACGCGGACGCTCCAGGGACGAGGAAACGGATACGTCCCAGGAGATGATGCCACCGAAGGTGGCAAGCAGCCGCCGAGGGAGGGCGCGCAAACCGGCCTCGGCCCCGGTCTTAACCCCGTCAGTTGTCGGAGGTCGTGGAGGGCCTAGTGGGCGACGTTTCGCGCCTACAGGTGGCCAACGAGAGGCTGACGGAGCGGGTGAATGAGCTGAGTGCTCAGTTCGCCCGCTTTCAGGCGAACCTCCCCGAGCGGGAAGCCCCGTCCTCGTCCCAGCCTGCCCCTACCACCAACTCAGGGGCATTTGACTCCCAACTGCGAGAAATCCTCATCGCAGTTGGGAATATGCTGGACGGACGCCTGGCTGGCCTGGAGGCGAGACTGCCCCCTGCGCCGATTATGCGCCCCCCGCTCGCGTCGGCACAGCGGCCTAAGGCCGCCGCTCCGACCGCGCTCCCCGTTGTGGGAGGCCGCGTCTCTTACGCGGCGGCGGCGTCTGCCCCTACTCCATCGGCTCCACAAAAGCCGAGGAGGGGGGCCAAGGCACCGGCCCAGGCGCCAGCCAAGGCACCGGCTAAGGCCTACTAAGTGCGCAGAGCTGCGCATCTCGGGCCTGGACGACTCCGTAAAGGCCGAAGATGTTCGCGCTGTAATCCGGGAGAAGACGGGGTGCAGCGCGGACAACGTCAGGGTCGGCACCATCCGCCCCGGTCCAGGAGGTCTTGGCGCCGTGTGGCGTGTATTGGCCGACGCCGGCAGGCTGCTCATCGGTTTCGTGAGCGCCAGGATCACAGTCCTGGCGGCGAGACCGATGAGGTGCTACAAATGCCTAGCATCGGGACACACGCGCGTCAAGTGCGACAGCTGTTTTGACTGCGGCGGACTGTGTTTCCGCTGCGGTCAACCGGGGCATAAGGCGGCAGAATGCTCTGCCGCCCCTCACTGCCCAGTGTGCGCGGCGGGCAATAAGCCCGCCAATCACCAGATGGGGCAGAGAGGCTGCAAGCCTCCCCGCAGTTCTCGGCAGACGTCAGGGGCTAGCCAGTCGACCCAGGCTACCCCCGACGTCAATATTGCGTCGACGTCGTCGCCCATGGAGGAGGTTGTAGAGACGATCCAGTAATGGATCAAGTCTCCAACCTCCTGGTCCAGACGAACCTGAACCACTGTGCCGCGGCGCAGGATCTCTTCCTGCAAACCATGGCACAGTGGTCGATAGGTGTTGCCGTAGTCGCGGAGCCCTATTCTGTCCCTCCCCGTCCAAACTGGATGGGTGACTGGGACGGCTCCGTGGCAGTCGTCGGTTCCACGACGGCTCATTCCCCGCCCTTGTCGCTAAGAGACAAGGGCACTGGATATGTTGCCGTCGAGTGGGGGGGGATCACCATATATGGTGTTTATTTCTCCCCCAACCGGAGTTTGAACGACTTCGAGGTTTTCCTAACCAGCTTGGAGACCTCGATACGGCGACTAGCGTCTGGGCACGTCCTTGTGCTGGGGGACTTCAACGCAAAGTCCATTGCGTGGGGTTCCCCCAGGACGGACGCCAGGGGCGAGGCCGTAGAGGAGTGGGCGGCCTCGGTGGGCCTCTGTCTTCTAAACAGAGGCTCCACCAACACGTGCGTGCGACAGCAGGGGGGGTCGATAGTGGACCTCTCGTTCGCTACCCCTGCCCTCGCCGCACGAGTAAGGAACTGGCGTGTCCTGGAAGAGGTTGAGACGCTCTCGGATCACCTGTATATCCGATTTGAGCTCTCCCGGACGCAGGACTCCAGTAGGGGTCACGTGGCGCGGCGTTTATCCCGCTTTCCGCGGTGGGCTGTTGCCAGACTGAACCGGGACCTACTAGAGGAGGCAGCCATAATTCACTCGTGGCTGTCTCCTCAGGCTCCGACCGAGGAGGTCGACGTGGGGGCTGGCCGCTTTCGCGATGCGATTACGCATATCTGCGATGCGGCCATGCCCCGCATTCGAGGTCGTCGGCCTCCAAGGAAGGAGGTCTACTGGTGGTCCCAGGAGCTGGCGGACCTCCGTGCGGCCTGTACACGTGCCCGGAGGTCCTACACGCGCAGTCGGCGGCGTCACCGTGGAGACGGTGAGGAGGACCGGCTTCATGAGGAGTACCGACGGGCGCGGAAAACTCTGAAGCTGGCCATTAGCCGCGCCAAAGAAGAAAAAAGACAGGAGATGCTGGAGGGTCTTAATCGTGACCCCTGGGGTCGCCCTTACCGCGCGGTGCGACAAAAGCTCCGCGCGTCAGGCCCCCCCCTTACGGAGACTCTCCAGCCCAGCTTCCTGCGAGAAGTGGTTGAGGGCCTTTTCCCACAACGAGCGGAACACACTCCCCCGGCGATGGCCTCCCTGGCCGGAGACGACGGGGAGCACGGGGAGGACAATGTTCCGCCCGTCCGGGAATCGGAGGTAGGGGCGGCTGTTCTACGGATCCGTTCCAAGAACACCGCCCCTGGGCCAGACGGGGTACCGGCCCGAGTGCTGGCCCTGGCCCTCAACCACATGGCAGACCGCCTCGGGGAGGTGTTCGACGCTAGCTTGGCGTCGGGACGCTTCCCTGAGTGCTGGAAGAGCGGGAAGCTGGTCCTATTGAGGAAGCCGGGACGGCCTGCCGATTCGGTCGCGGCCTATAGGCCCATCGTGCTGCTGGACGAGGCGGGCAAATTGTTTGAGAGGATTCTTTCTGCCCGCATCGTCCGGCACCTCTGCGAGGTGGGCCCCGATCTGTCGTACGCCCAATTTGGTTTTCGGGCGGGGCGTTCGACGGTCGACGCCGTGTTGCGCCTGAGGGCCGTGACCGAAGAGGCAGTGAGCTGTGGCGGCGTGCTGTTGGCGGTGTCATTAGACATCGCCAACGCATTCAATAGTCTGCCATTCAGCTGCATCAGGGAAGCACTCCACTATCATGGGGTGCCAAAGTACCTGAGGCGGCTAGTGGCAGACTATTTAGAGGAGCGTACCGTCGTGTACGAGGACCGAGAAGGTAATCTGAGGTGTCGGCCCATGTCGTGCGGTGTTCCACAGGGGTCTGTTCTTGGACCCCTCTTGTGGAACATAGGGTACGACTGGGCCCTTCGCGCCGATTTCCCCCCCGGGCTGGGTGTAATCTGTTACGCAGACGATACCCTCGTGACAGCCCGGGGGGCAAACTTCCAAGAGGCGGCGCGCCTGGCCACAGGGGGAGTCTCCCTGGTGGTCGGGCGCATTGAGGCGCTGGGCTTACGGGTGGCCCTAGATAAGACGGAGGCCCTGTTATTCCATGGGCCCCGTCGTGGTCCACCCCCTGGCGCCTCAATCGTGGTCAACTCGGTCCTCGTACCGGTTCGGGCCCAGATGAAATATCTGGGCCTGATCCTCGACGGGAGGTGGCTCTTCGACGAGCACTTCCGACAGCTTGCTCCAAAGCTGGTCGGCGCTGCGTCTGCCCTAGGGCGACTTTTGCCCAATATGGGTGGACCCAGCGTCGCGACAAGACGGCTGTACACGGGGGTTGTCCGGTCAATGGCACTGTACGGTGCACCGGTGTGGGCGGCGGCTCTGACCGCCCAGAATAGGGTACGCCTCTGGCGCCCTCAGAGGGTAATGGCGGTCAGAGCCATACGCGGTTACCGCACCGTGTCGACGGAGGTGGCATGCGCGTTGGCCGGAACTCCCCCGTGGGATTTGGAGGCGGAAGTGCTCGCCGAAGTTTATCGGCGAGTGGCTGACTTCCGGGCGGAGAGCGGATTTCGCCCTCCGCCCGAGGATGTGCGCGAGTGGCGCGAAGCCGCTCGCCGAGCCACGATGGCTCGTTGGTCGTTCCGGCTGGAGACTCCACGCGCTGGCTTCGCCGCCGTGGAGGCTCTCCAGCCGGTCATCGCCGAGTGGGCAGGGCGGCAGCACGGGACCCTTTCCTTCCGGCTGACGCAGGTGCTTTCCGGGCACGGTTGCTTCGGAAAGTACCTGCACACTGTCGCTAGGAGGGAACTGAGTCCCGCCTGCCACCACTGCGACTGCAGTGAGGACTCGGCCCAGCACACGCTGGCGGTCTGCCCCGCATGGGCGGCGCAGCGCCGGGCCCTCACTGCAGTCATCGGAGTGGATCTCTCGCTACCGGCCGTAGTACGCTCCATGGCCGGTAGCGACAGTTGTTTTACCGCGGTCGCAACCTTCTGCGAGGTAGTAATCTCGCGGAAGGAGGCGGCGGAGAGGGCCCGGGAGGACGACCTCCACTCGGACCCGATCCGCCGCCGGCGAACCGGGCGGCGGAGGCCCGCCTACCACAGCCTCATGCCGCCCTGAGTGTGGCCGCGGGTGGACGGGGTGGGTTTCCCCTCCACCCGCATTAGTTGGCCAGCCGCGAGGGGGCGGCGTCCGCGTGTGCCGGACGTCGCCTAAAGAGAGGAACATCCACATTGAGACGGAGCCCGCACCAGGAGCGGGCTGGCGCTAGGAGGGGTCCGGATGTCTTAACAACAGCTGTTCCCGGATCCCTCCTGTTAGAGGCGCAGAGTGGCACACCGTGTGGTTTTAGTCGGTCCGAGTCCGACACACCACCCCGCCGCAAACCCCGGAGGGGTGACGGTCCGAGGGGATTTCCACACGATAAAAAAAAAAAAAAAAGGCAACCCCCAACCCCCCTAATCCCTTTTCTTGAATTGCAGTTTGCCAAGACCGGTGCTAATTAATTACCATCAGGAGACTCGACGAATAGAAATTAGATCATTCAAAATAGAGTATGTTTTGTGTGCACGCGGGTATGCGAATAGCGACTACAGTACAGATACGAATTGAAAATTGGAAAGAGAAAATTCGACATGAACATCGAAATATGGTCTAATAAAATAATAGAAGCAGAAAGACACTGTTGTATTTCAACCAAATCGGTATAATTAGAATTTAATAGTGCTGACATAATAGAAGTGATCACAAGACTTATGCTATGACTTATGATTATGACCTAAATTTAGTTAGTCAGTTCTTTTTATAAGGTAGCAAAACATCCTTCTCGTCAGAGTCAAAAGATGCAGAATTTTTGTGTGTGACAAAAGCACAGGCGTGTCACCAATAAACAGCTGTTTTCTTTGAGGCCGTGGTATAACTACTGGCTGCTCTTTGGCTGGTTTTATTTAGTTGTTACCATACATAATAATTTAATTGCAATCTTGGCGATGTCATACCCGGAGGTATTCATACATGAAGGACATCTTAAAAAGGAAAAGATGAGTGTTCGTTCATGAAGAAAGGGACGTACCACCTTCTAATAATTAAATAGTAAAATAATATGATATTACCCTGTCATGATTGTATTTCGCCACTTTATTAAATTTCTCAATTTCTTGTATCACATGCGGTAGTTCTTGAAAACGAGTATTCACCTTCCACTCAGTTGAGTTTTTGTTGAATATTACAGGCAAATAGTAAGGTAATCCTAAATCAGATATGAAGAATCTTTAAAAGTATTTGATCTGATAAAATCTGATAAAATGACGTAGTGTGGCTTAGAATATCTATGGTAAATGTAAATAAATTAAATAGAGGTATTATAAAATACTTGGGTCCTTGACACGTCCGGCCAAAAAGACTTGATTGCTCTAATTAAGACTTTATTATGTACTAATAGGAAAGTTTGTGAGTGTACAGGTGTGATTATTGTACCTTTACGCTAAAAGAGGTGGATGAATTTATTGTAACTACGATTATTTTTATGAGTGAATTATCATATTGACTTAACTCTACCATCTGAAGACCTTCAATAAATGACAGTTTAATTTTACACAGTTTGGAAACCTGCCTGTTCAAATCATAAAATATAATTTGTTCGGAACGGTAGTTGTTCACCGTGGAAAACTATGTAAATGCTGTGCTCTTTATAAAAGCTACTTGGTGTATAGACAATGGAACCGACACGGCCCCTCTTATTTTTCTCTAGGGTTTGCTATGCAGAAAGAGGAGCCTTATCTCACTTAACGGCTTAAACTGTTTGTCAAAAAGACACTTACGGGATGTTAATACAGTTGTAGTAACTGTATACCATAAGAATCAACTTCGGAAACACTATTTTTAAAAACGTGTTCCGTAACGTAAAGAAAACCAGTATTATATTTCTTCGGCAATTATTATTTAGCTCCTATCAAAGGTAAACTTTTACAGATCATTGTAACATTATCGAAAACAAGGCGACATTATTAATTACATGTTTTTCACTTTCACTAAGATGGGTGACAATATGTTAAGGTCAGTATAAGATTAATACTATTTGTAGCCTTATATATCACTTACTACATATTAATCTTGCTATGTGTATATATATTAATACATAAATATAACTTCGTTAAGTCAAGAAAATAAAGAAAAACGTCTATCGAATAGACCTGAGAGAGAAAAACGTATCAGTTTAATAAAAACAAAAGTATTTTAAATTCATCTAAATACCGATACAATAGTATATGAAAATCATGTCTACACATTAATAATGTTTTTGACTACCTTTTATAGTCCTTAATGAACCGTCACTTATGACACCCATGCTGACATAACTTTCCCTCTCATTTACAGTAGAATCCCATATCACACTTAGACATCTGGCTAGTTTCCAACCTTTGAAAACCCCGCTATACGGGTTCTGCATGATTATTGATTTTATCTTTAAAAAATATAACAATTGATAAATGTACATTTAGACGTAAGTAACCTGAAAGATGTCAAACTGAGCAATGTCTTTTTGTAGTCAATATTTTGAAATAATATTGACCAAAATTCTCATTTTTGCGATTGGAATCACATTGGACCGAATTCAAGCAATGGATTTGAGTTCCATCAATAGTAGATATGGATCTCGCAGTCTCTTTTTTCACCTCCTGTATTCCTTCTATTTAAAAGTATTCTCATGATTATTAAAGTAATGGTTTGACTGAGGAGTTGTTGAACGAAAAGTAAACAGAAATAAAAGCAATGAAATGTTTTATTACTTAAATTAATAATTACTAAATAAAGTAATAAAACAAATTAATTATTGTTAATAAGAAACAATCTTACTCAAAAAAAAATATTAAAGAAAAAGAGAATTGAAGAAAAATATGTGTATTTTAGGCAAAAATTACATAGGTACTCATTTTTATTTCTAAAACAAATCCAACATTTCTTGTAACTGCTAGCCACGACTTTCAGTACAGTTACGAGTACAAGGTCAAAATAATGACTTTGGTAAAGATGGTTTAGTTTACTAATTTGTCGTGGAATATTTACCTTTTCATAGCTCAATATATGTTTGTCCTGTTGTCCGTACTGTTTATTTGCGGTTATTACTTTGTATTAATACAGATTGAAAAGATTGTACAGATTTTATTTCCTCTTTATCTTGCGTACAACAACCCACAATCACGTTTACCAATAAAATAACCATAAAAAAAGATTTACTACACTACTGTTATGGTCAGACAAAGGTGTATAATATACCTAAATTCCACAATGCTCAGCTTTCAATATAAATTTTGCCGAAATATTTGTGCTATATAAAACTGATCACCTGTGGTATGACACTTTTAGTTACACATAGACGTATAGTATCCGTCAAAACCAATGAAATTATAATAATTTCTGTGGTCAAAACGGTCACAAGTTTTGAGGCATGGAAATCAGCAACCACGTTAATTATAGTTCAGTTACCCCATCAATCTTAATTTAAATTTACCTGGATTCATACAGAACGTGTGTTCTGTAATCTGTGGTATCCATTATCGCTCATGATATTTACTTAATTATCAAGATCTCAGCGAACACGTCTCAGTTAAATAAGTGGGACATGTAAACACAAAGTAGCTTCTTATACTACCTTATAATTATGCTATACTTGATGTTGCCACTTCAACCACTTCAACTAATATGAACGAGGTAAGAATACAATAACTTATAATTTTAAACATCTTACTTTCTACTAGCCTAAACTAAAGTCAATGAAATACATACTTGTAATTTTGTAAACATTAAATTAAAAATACTTTATCATGTATAGGAAACCAATTACCTTTGCAATAAATTCTTTTTTCATCCAAGAAGCATTGAACTGTGTGTGGTCTAATTTTAAGGGTTCCAAAAGTTCCACGCTTACCATTTCCCAATCACAGTATGATTTATCACTTATCGTGTCGTAAACAACATAAGGTTTCTCAATTTCGACGTGGAACATGCGGTCGTTTACACCCCAAACGTAGCTTTTATTAATATCATTACATTGAACCTTGAACATATATAAGAATTGAAAGTTCATTATTTGTAGAACAAGATCATAATCATATTATAAGTGCCCTGACTTATATTGAATGTTGGAAAGCCGCGTTTGTTACGCCTTGACTACGATATATGGATACCTCTCATTTAGAGAAGCGTTGCTAGCGAGGGATTGAAAAATAATTGTAATACGGGCGATGTTCTTTGGCAAAAGCTAGTAGTTTTTGATATCAAAAGCTATTCTTCTACTATCGCTATATTGTCACTATCTCAATTTTTCTGCCCATTTTCCTATTTTATTTGGAGTCAAAGGATTCTCCAGCTTCCTGTTTTTAGACAGTGTTAATAATAAAAAGTTAGATTGGGCGAGAAACCTATGGTAAGAGTTACCTCAAGCCTCGGGTGGGAAAACGATAATGAGACTATCGTAGCTCGAAAAGGCCCCGATTGTAATTGATGATGCACAAATTTTACAATCGACGGGGACAGTAGCCATTAAAAAAATAGGTTGCTATGATGGCAATATTATCTATACATTGCCGTCATCTAAACGGAAGTTCATTTATGCCTTTACGATAGAACTCTGGGGATCTAAAGTAAAGTGTAAAGCAAACAGGATGTCCATAAACCGTTTTGTATTTAAAATGAAAGTGCGTGATCTCTTTCTTCATAAAATGGTAGTGCTACCCAATCCATGGTGCACCTTTTATAAACTTAGTGTACGAATATAATGTGTTTATTTATAAATATATTTATATATTTATGATGTGATGTATCGTATATGTGTATGTATACGTTTATGTATGTAGTGAACCGTTTATATTTTCATTGATTACATGTCATAATATGTAACCTCTGTGCTGATATGTCCAAGGCATTCTCTTTCAGTCAACCTTTGGGTGGTGTAGAAATTGGGCATTGAGAATGCATTGCAATGGGAGAGGCCTCAGTGCCAGCAGTGGACTGCGATTGGCTTGGGCATTAAGTCCGCCGAAATACAAAAGTGCATAAGTTTGAAATAAATAAATAAATGAAATCATTTTGTACTGCCTCCTGGGAAGATTTTTTTTATAACGTAGAAAATTGTCTAAATCGCGAATAAAATGGTTTTGTTCGTTCGTTCGTTCGTTCATATGTCACAATTCGATCCAATATTCCTTCATTTCTGTCACAGAGTACATTGTAATATACTGAAATAGAGGTATATCTCAATCGCTTTTGGAGGAAATTACAAAACGACGCCATCTGTTAGGAGCGAGCAACAACTTTTCTCTTACTCAACATTTGAAAGGATATATTTATACCTACATATCTATAATATAGGTAATACTTATTGTATACAGTATTGTTTATATTATGTACAAATATACGTATGCAATTAGAACTTTGTAAAATAAAACAATGTATAAAAAAAACGTTTATTTTCTTCTTTTCAAGACAACAACGTTTAACAGACATTGCAACACAAAAATAAAGCGTTAAAAATAAGTGTCTCTACCTCAATACTACTCGAAAACAACACACAAGGATAACAAAGATCAGAAGAACCTAGACTCAACTCACGCATTAATAAAGATATCAGAGAATAATTGTTATTAGTTCCAAGCAAGTAAACATTCAACCACCAAAAAAATGCCGGTATGAATGTCATGTTGACGGACAACATTCATAACGACAGCTGTTGCAAATGTTGCTGCATTAACGCTGATGAAAAGTACCAAAACAATGGCAATAATAAAATGATACAGGCACTAAGTTAGGATTTCTTAGAATCGTGTGTATTAAAGTGCTAAAGTTTTCAAAAATTTTAATATAAGTCTACATTTATTAATTTTATCATACAAAATAACTACCAACTCAATGTATAAAAAAAATAATGGCAACATTTTATTTCCAAAAGTCATTTTATAATGATTCCAGAAAATAGTGATATACGTACCGCGATAATAAAAACTAAAACAACTCACTTTATGTTTTATGCGGATTATACCGAAAGTAACGACATCTATAAGTATCGACTGGCGAAGTACACACGTATTATACGCCTAAATAAAGTGTACGTAATGTTGTTTAAATTTTAGAACAAATAAAAAACCATTGTATTTGGTTCGTAACATTCCAAGGATTGTCGACTAAGATTGTACCGCCTGATTTCTGTACCGATTCAACAAGGCAACACAAGTTTCGACACACATTTCTTTCTGCAGATCAATCAAATCATGAGGCACCCATTTTTCATATGTTTTTATCTTATTGATTTGATGCAAATAAGTCAATATTGTAGATAGGATAACGTTGAATGATGTCTCTAATTCCTGGGTAGTTTGACTCGGATCGGCTCCTACCATCTCCTTCAATTCAGTGTTATTCACCTGTTTGGTCTTAAACGTGGTTCGTTCTTTAAGTCGAAGCTTCCATTCCGAAAATCAAAAACGCACAGTGCGTTCATTAGCAGTCTCCTCCCCAAACACAGCGTTGATATTGCAAAACGTTTCTGCCGCGTCAGTAACACCCCGAAACTCGTACTCAAAAATGACGTCGACGACGTCTAAGCTGAATAAAAAAGCAATTAAAAGTCGAAAATCAAATGTTGCACATTTTTTAAAAGAAGAATCTCATGGGTATCATGTAAAAAAAGTTTTACACGAAAATCTCACACCATAGAGGTTTTATGTCAGTTCAAAGTATCTATTACTATACCACGGCAATTTCATACTTTAATCCCTATTATTAAAGATTTTCTCCAATACCGGTCTACAATTTGATAAACTTCTTATGCTCTAACAGATTAGGCTGTAGAAAGAATAAGAAGCGTCATATCAATAACGTATATGGGTAACATTTCAGACATTTTAATTCTATGGTACGTATTAAAATCTTTTCATACAGAAAAGACGAATGAATGGCGTAGTGGTTTGTGTAACGGACTGCTACTCCAAAGGTCGCGGGTTCGATTCCCGCTCAAGTCAAACATTTGTGTGCATGAACATTTAATGTTTGATTTGGTCTGGGTGTTTCTATGTATAATATGTATGTATTTACAAAAAAAAAAGTATATATATATTTATATCAGTTGTCTAGTACCCAGTAGTACAAGCTCTGCTTAGTTTGGGACTAGATGGCGTTGTGTGAATGTGGGAGAATATTATTAATTATTATTATTTACGGACAGAGGACTTACGGAGATTACTTATTAGACTAGCGTACAACTCAAAATTCGGACTCGTAGATATACGATAAGAATTTCAAAACTGTTAGTCCAAGAGCCCGTGACTGCCAGACCTTCCTTTTATAATATAAGCTGAAAGTTTTTCTATGTATACCTTTAGTAAAGGTAAGAACGATCCCCACCCATTATACCTGGGTAGTGGTGGCTTTGGCAGGTAACAGGTAATAAAGGTGTATAAAATTCCATCTTAAATTTATTAATTTATAAAACTTATTTTTTATATATATCTGTTTGTAACAATAACACAACTTACGTCATTCATTACCAGACGCTTAATACGGTTCCAACCCTTCGCCAGACACCCCTAAACTATAATATTTTGTAATTTTACTTACGTTATTTTTTAAAAGCTGAATTTTATATATGTTTTTTGGGGAACTATAAAAAGATGTTTCTTTAGTAGCCAGACACATTCGAGGGTTCTATCATCCTGCCAGACGCATTGGAGTGCATAGAAAATGTGAGAGCGCGGTGCTTATGTACTAACTGGTGCGAGTGAGACAGGCTGTTCGGTTTATTGCGATCTTGTACTGAAAATTAGCTATCCTTTATCAAGAAATTCAATTTAATAAATTTATTATAAATTTCTAAAACAATTTGCATTAAAGTATAATTTTATAAGAAAATATAATCCGAAAAAATCACTAAATTTAGATTTTCATACGTCTTATGAAGTTTATTATATTTATTCATAATTCTTTTGAAAAGCAAACATTAAAAAAAAAAAATTTTATTTCAAACAAATATTCAATGATTTTTAAATCAATTATCAAATTCTTTACAATCAAATGCATTATTTAATAATTTTCATCGTTTTCATCGTCATTTTCATCGTCCTCGCATTGATCGTTGTCAATATCACCTTCGTTCGTTTCTGTAATAATAAAATGATCCTAGTTAATTATAAGCTGTCATAAATTCGTGTTATATATTCTCATCCAATTATTACATACCTGACATTTGTTGTAAAGATTCACTAACATAATTCGGTAACTGATCCCCCTCAAACCATTTAAAATAGTATTGATTTTTTTTCCAGAATCCAACCATAATTTACTGGTTCGTATGCTGTTGGAATTTTCAAGTGAGCATTGTTCCATATAGAACATATATAATTCGCGCGCAGAAATTGCTGAAATAGCTCACTTTTGCAAGGTGGTAAGCAACTGGCATCAAAATTCCGTAGTTTTTTGTTATTAAAAGCTTCGTTTACATCAGAGACTGTGTAAGAATCGATAAAAATTTGCAGCCTAGCAGCATCAACGTCGTTTAAATTACCAACATTGTATAGGTAGCATAAAAGACTTTGAATAACATTAAAGATCTCGTGTTGTTTATTGTTATCTTCCATGATTTCGCTGTGTCCAAAATACATTAAGGCTTCCTGGAATTCCACATAGTTTTTCAATATTTTAAACGGTTTTGATTTTGCTCGTCTAAAAAATGCAGGGTTGTAATCACATCCTGTGATTGCATGTAATCCAGGCAAGCTTTTACAAATAGATTCTCCCAGTTGTTCGTGTATTTTAGTTAGGTCCACATATCTTAGATTATTTCCAGTGCCTATAAGCATCCAAACATGCAATCCATCATTTAAATGATGCATATGACCTAGCATTATAGCAGCAATGTCAGTATCAACAGTTCGTATTACAATATTTGCTGCATCGTTTATTTTACATGCATGGTACACAATTTTGGTATCTGCTTCTTCATGCTCCGGGCAAGACAATTCCTCAATAATACTTGACATGACTTTGTTGGTATTATTAACAGTAAAT